ACACTCTCAGCAGGGTCCTGGAGGGTGCGTGGGAGTTTGCCCAACCGGTCTACATGTGCTTTGTGGACTTGGAGATGGCGGTCGACCGCATCCCTTGGGTAACCCTGTGGGGGATACTCTGGGAGTATGGGGTACCGGGCCCTTTGATACGGGCTGTAAGGTCCCTGTATGACCGGTGTCAGAGCCTGGTCCGCATCGCCTGCAGTAAGTCGGGCTTGTTCTCGGTGAGAGTTGTACTCCGCCAAGGTTGCCCTTTGTCAACGATTCTGTTCATAACTTTTATGGACAGAATTTCTAGGCGCAGCCAAGGTGTTGAGGAGATCCGTTTTGGTGGCCTTTGGATTGCCTCTCTGCTTTTTGCAGATGATGTGGTCCTTTTGGCTTCATCAGATCGTGATCTACAGCTTTCGCTGGAGCGGTTCGCAGCCAAATGCGACTTGGCCGGGATGAAGATCAGTTCCTCCAAATCCGAGGCCGTGGTCTTGAGCCGGAAAAGGGTAGAGTGCCCTCTCTGGGTCAGGGAGGAGGTCCTACCCCAAGTGGAGGAGTTCAAGTATCTTGGGGTCTTGTTCACAGATGAGGGAAAAATGGAGTGTGAGATCGATAGGCGGATAGGTGCAGTGTCTGCAGTGAAGCGGGCGCTGTACAGGTCTGTCGTGGTGAAGAGAGAGCTGAGTCAAAAGGCGAAGCTCTCAATTTACCAATCGATCTACGTTCCTACCCTCATCTATGGTCACGAGCTTTGGGTTGTGACCGAAAGAATGAGAACTCAGATACAAGCGGCCGAAATGATTTTTCTCCGCAGGGTGTCTGGGCTCTCCCTTAGAGATAGGGTGAGAAGCTCAATCATCCGGGAGGGACTCAGAGTAGAGCCACTGCTTCTCCACGTCTAGAGAAGCCAGTTGAGGTGGCTTGGGCATCTGTTTAGGATGCCTCCTGGACGCCTCCCTGGTGAGGTGTTCCAGACACGTCCCATTGGAAGGAGGCCCAGAGGAAGACCCAGGACACGCTGGAAGGACTATGTTTCTCAGCTGGCCTGGGAACGCCTCGGGATTCCCCCGGAAGAGCTGGCCCAAGTGGCTGGGGAGAGGGAAGTCTGGGCCTCCCTACTTAGGCTGCTACCCCCGCGACCCGACCCCGGATAAGCAGA